CCCCCCCACTCCCTCGCTCCTTTATTTCCGTGTCCGAGCTGCCCTTGCAGACGTCGTCTCTTCTCCCGAGAACCCCCCAACGCCAGCTCTGCGGCGTGTACAAAAAAGGGAGAACACGCCCCGGCGATGCACATGCACAGGTTGGACTTGTTGACTGTTAATAGATTGAGCCTACCTCCCACTTGCTCTCCCTGCTTGTGCCCCGACCTCTTCTTTTTTTTTTCTCTCTCTTTGACAGCCTACCTGCTGTGATGCATAGTGGAGTGTTTTATCATGGTCAAGGTGATTGGGTTGTGGGGAGGGGGGGGGGGGGGGAGTACGTAAACTTGCACCGGGACCCATGTGTCAACGTTGGTTGCGCTGCTCATGCTGGAGTTTCGAAGGCCAGAAGATACGAAGGGAAAGGGGCAAACACCATCCAGTTAGAAGTCATCGACGATGCTCACAAGAGGAAGAGACATTGTGTGGTCGACCGTGTGGCTTAAAGCGCGCGCATGCACAAATGAGTGGGTGAGCATGTGTACCATCATTTTCTCCACCATCTTCCGAGTTTCCGGATCCAGGTCAGCCAGGCTACTGTTCTCGGGTTGGATTTTGCTGATGTCCAGCTCCGGGTCGCCCTGGAAGACGGCCTTCCACCAGGCGCCCTGAGACCCGGAGCCGCTTTTTTCCATCTCAATGACCAGTCGCCCATCGTCTATAAACAGGGGAGCACGGCCCGAAAAGAGCCATAAGTGTGAGCATTCGATGTGGGCGGGGGCCGGGGAAGGTTTGGAGAACCAGTCATTGAGACAAACACACCAATGAACCAAGAAGTGTCATCAAGGCTGACTCGATAACAGAGGATGCCCTGGTGTGTGTGTGTGTGTGTGTGTGTGTGTGTGTGCGTGTGCGTGTGCGTGTGCGCATGTGCGTGTGCGTGTGCGTGTGCGCATGTGCGAGTGTGCGCGTGTGTGAGTGAGTGAGTGTGTGTGTGTATGCACGTAGAAAAATGTGAGATAGACAGAGAGGAGAAGAGAAGAGGAGGAAAGAGCCCACCCAACTCGAGCCAAGTGTATTTGTCCTCCATATCGGGCCAGCTGGCCATGGCGTACCTCAAACAGCACGCCCTCGGGCGTGGTAATCTTCACAGGCTTTGGGGCATTGGCAAGGACGACGCTCAGCTGCTTGGCACGAGTAACGCCCTCGGGGAGGGGGAAGGACACGGTCACTTCGCTGAGGGTCTGCTGCCAGGTGTAGGGAAGGGCTGGGATCCGGAGGAAACCGAGGGGGGAGGTCGGAAAGTAAGTCAACGGCAGCTTGCACAGCATTGCCACCAGGCGAAGAACACCCATAGATCAGGGACATACCCTCCTGCTCGCGCTTCTCCACAATTGCCAGGCGCACATCGTAGACTGCCCGATCACTTTCGGACAGAGTGGCGTACTCGGCGGGGGAGAGCTTGCGGAAAGCCTCGCCAAAGACAGCCGCGCCGGCGTGCAGATCGTCGGCCATGCTTTCCAGGGTGCACGGAGAGGGGGAAGGGGGATCGAGCAGGGACGGTGGAGGGAGGTCGTAAGTCACAGAGGATAAGGGTGGGTGGATCGACGGATTGGGGGGGGGGGGGGGAGAGGGAGGCTTAATGCAGAGCATTCAGGTCACTTGAGGCGACACTGTGGGGAGAAATATGCCCTCCTCCGAGGGTCGGGCAAGCCGCGAAGAGGCTACCGAAGCCGTCAGCTTTCCTGGCTCAAGCCGAGGCCCATCGCCCTTGCGGCCCCAAGAGCCGAAGATGGCAGTGCCCGCCGCTAAACTCCCCGTCGATCGCAATAGCTCGTCCAAGTAGCCGACTCAATTTACACCTGGAGGCGTTGTGCCTTAGGTCGATCCAGAGGAAATGGTGTTGTGTGTTTAACCGATTTGGGCTGGCGGATGCGCCGGCCTCCAGCAGGGGAGCACCTGGCCCCAGCCCGACCGGAGTACCCCCTTCAGGCTAAAATGCCAGCATTTTTAATCGCCCTTTTCACTGATCCCAGTCTCAACTTCCGGAGGCCGGGATCTGGGACTGGATGCTCGCCAGTTTGTCTCCGCGGAGCCGAGGGCAGAGAACGATGGGGGAGGGGGGGAGGGGATGAACCTGGGCCGGGGAGGATTAGCTACCTGGGGGAATGTCCATCCAGCAGCATCCGTGTTGGTGCCCTTTTAGTCGGTCAGAGAGGGATTCTAGACGGACACCAGTATCTGCTGATGCGGGTGCGGACACTTCCCTCGCCATGAGCAGGCAACTATGCATTGTTTTCCATCCTCCGCCTGTGGTATCCTTCCTTTCCCGGCTGGCCCGGGGCGGGGCCGAGTGGAGCTGGGCGAGGCGCGGGGGGCGAGGCGCGGGCGGGGGGGGGGGGGGGGGGGCACTTTCAGGGTGCTTGTGTGGGGACATCCCAACCAAAGTCGGATGGGGGAATGTTGGAGCCCCTTCGGCCGTTGCTGGTGGCGTTTTCCTCACCACACAGCTGACAAAGATCCGCTGCCCATCCTCGGGGGCCTCCGCCTGACCGTCAAGCGCCCGGGGGAACATATAGACGCCGCCAAAGGGCCCGGGGGATGAGAGGCTGGATGCTGCCCAGGCTGGCATTGTCGACCACATTGCGGGTGGGGCAGCCACTTGCGCTGTTGTGCCCCGTGGACCAAGGGCTGCTGCCTGTCATCTCCGCACAACACTCGCGGAGACTCGCACATACACACACACACACACACACATACGCACTCATTTCTTGGCGATGTCCAGGGAAGGAGGGACGCACACGAATGTGCGTCTGGGCGTCCAGGACGTGCCATTCTCCAGCTCTTCTCTTGGCTGGCTGGGGTCCATCTACTGGTCAGTCAACCCGCAGGCCCCCGCTGGGCTGGCCGTCTTGGCGCTCTGCCGGCGACGAGATACCCGCCCCACCCGGAGCCGGGGACATTTTTCTCGGCCCCAGCGCCCGGGCCCCCGGGGGCCCCGCGGTGTACCTTCATCCCCGAGACGCCCCCCTCGCCCGGCACCCGTCGCCCCCACCCCTCACCGCCCCCGCCTCCCCACCCCCCTCCCCGTCTCTCCTCTCCCCGCCCTGTTGCTCGCTCGCTCGCTCGCCCCTCGTCCGTCGCTCCTCTCGCCGCACCGGGTTCTTGGGAAAAAACGCTCCTCCCCCCTCTCTCTCTCTCTCCATTGTCGGCCCGCCTCGCCTCCTTCACCTTCCCCTTTTCCCAGCCCCTGCTGCCCGGAATCGCCGATCCGCCGGCGCCACTGACCCGGCACGATGGCCCAATCCCGCTCCATCCTGACATCCCGTCAGCAAGAGGAGCTGTGCGTGCCTGTCCCTCACTTGGATTGCTTGCTTCCTTGACCCACATTCGCCCTCCATCCCACTGACGCGCTTCCTCCCGGGATACAGCAATTTCTCGATCCTCTCATACCTTCACCAGAATGGCCTGGGCGAGTCGGCCGCGGCCTTCGCACGCGAGGTCCCCCTTGACGGTGTGGACCCGGCCGACTCCGCAACCTTTTCCTCGACCAAGTTCGCCTCGCTGTTGGAGAAGAAGTGGACATCGGTGGTCCGTCTCCAGCGCAAGGTGATCGAGCTGGAGAAGCAGGTGGCCGAGCTCCAGACCGAGCTGGCAGCCGCCCCTGTGCGCGTCGATACCTCCACACGCGATTGGCTCCCTCGGTGCGCCTCCTTCCTACACCCTTCCCGCCTCTCTCTCTCTCTCTCTCTCTCTCTCCCCTTTCCAGCAACTGACCCTGTCCGCCCTGCCGACAGTGCTCCCGAAAAGTTCATCCTCACTGGTCACCGGAGCCCCGTTACCCAGGTGTCTTTCCACCCGGTCTATACCGTTGTTGGTATGCCGCCATCGCCCTGGCAAATGCATGGGCGCCCATGTGTGTGTGTGTGTGTGTGTATGTACCCCAAATAGCGTGCTGACTCCTTCCACTCCCCTCCAGCCTCCTCCTCCGAAGATGCCACCATCAAGCTCTGGGACTATGATACCGGGCATCTCGAGCGGACTTGTCGTGGCCATACAAACACCGTGCAGGACCTTGCATACAGCCCGAATGGCAATCTTCTTGGTGCGTCCTCCCTCCCTTTCTTTCTTTCTCTCTCTCTCTCTCTCTCTCCCTCCCTCGCCCCTCCCCTGCCTCCTTCCGGGCGCTCACAACCCTCCATCCCCCACCGCCACCGCTAATGTTCCTGTCTTTCATCCCCTTCGGCTCTCCCACCTCCTCAGCCTCGTGTTCGGCCGACTTGACCATCAAGCTCTGGGACGCGTCGGACGACTACACCTGCGTGCGGACACTCATCGGCCACGATCACAATGTGTCATCGGTGGCTTTCATCCAGCCGCGCGGTGAGCTCTTGGTGTCTGCCTCGCGGGACAACACCATCCGCATTTGGAACATCACTTCCGGCCACTGTGTCCGCACGATCACCTCGGCCCATTCGGATTGGGTTCGCCGGGCGATTCCCTCCCATGCCGGGGCATTCATCGCCTCGTGCTCCAATGACCAGGTGCGCTTTGTTGTCTCCCCTTCCCCTTTGTCGTGGTATTTCCGCTTCCCCTTCCGCATCTCTCTCTCTCTCTCCCTCTCTCGCCCCGTCCACCCCTGTCTTCCTCCACTGGCGCAAACCCACGCATTCTTACCCCGTGCCTCATGTTTCCCTCATGCGACTCGCATGTCCTTCTCTCTCTCTCTCCCCTCTTTCCCTCCTCCTCCCCATTTATATGACGCGAATGCGCACAAACACATGCAGCTGGTCAAGATTTGGGACACCCGGACAGGCAACTGCCTGCAGACCATGGGCGGTCACTCACATGTGGTGGAGTGCGTGGTCTGGGCGCCCCACCTGGCCGAGGCTCCCCTACGTGAGCTCCTCGGCTTGCCGAAGGTAACCGCAGCGGCGGCACGGCGAGCGGCGCGTGAAAGTGCCGTGCCTGGCTCGCCTGACGGCACTGACACCACCGCTGAGGGCGATGGTCCCGCGGTCCAGGAGAGCCTGCACTACGTGGCCACTGGCAGTCGTGATCGGACAATCAAGCTCTGGGACACTCGGACTGGCCAGTGTGTCCATACCTTTGTGCGTGGCAGACACCCATGTTCCCCTCAATGTCCCTGTACAAACGGCATACATCCCCACAGTATCCTTTCTTACTGACTCTCCTTTCCTCCTTCTTTCTCTTCCTCTCTCTCTCTCTCTCTCTTTCTCCCCACTTCTCACTTCCTAAATCCAACTCCTCCTCCTCTCACTGATCCCCCGTTCGCCCCTTTCCATTAGAACGGCCACGATAACTGGGTCCGAGCGCTGGCCTTCCACCCGTCCGGTAAATTCCTCCTGTCAGTCGCAGATGATAAAACCCTCCGGATATGGGATCTCTCCAACGGCCGGTGGTCCGTGCTCCTCTCTCTCCCCCCCCCCCCTCCCTCCCCCATCGCCCGTTCCTTGTGGCTTTAAGTACCGCATGCTACCCATTGTCTGATTCGCCCCTTTCCGCTGACTGACCTTTCACATACGCACACAGCATCAAAACAATCGAGGCTCACTCGCATTTTGTCACCAGCCTGGACTTCTGCCTGACCAGTCCGCTGCTCGCCACTGGCTCTGTCAACCAAGACATCAAGCTTTGGGAGTGCCGCTAAATCGTCGAGCCGAAGAGGGAAGACGAAAGAAGAAGAGACACAGAAGATCAAAGGCCACCATCGCGTGAGACTTTGCCACCGGTCATGCGGCTTTTGATAGTCCTCTCTTTCCCTTTCCCCTTATATCACCCAGCTCTCCAGGGCCTAGAAAGGGTCCTCCTCCAGCGCGATACTCTCCTTCCCCACTGTCCCTCCCTCCTTCTCTCTCTCTCTCTCTCTCTCTCTCTCTCTCTCTCCCACACACACACACACACAAATCCCTTTCCAGCGATCCTCATTTCGGCATTTTTCCTGTAGATCCTACAGTCGAAGTTTCATGCCGTCCTGCCCAAGCAACATCACCCTCTCCCAATCGGCCTCCCCCCCCCCTCTACCTCCCTCTTTTCCACTCTTATCACCTGTACTTGTCCTTCCAACCTCTCCAGCTCCCCTCCTCCCGCGTGTGCGCGGGTGCGTGCATTCCACCAAGAGGGAAGATCGCTGGCAAACGCTCCTCCTCCTTTGCTCTTCCCTCCCCCCTCGCCCTTTTCCCCCCAGCCCCGAAACATAAACTCCAATCATTTTCGTGTTTGTTATTCCTGACTCCAGGCACGGGGTAACGCATCCGTCAGGACGCTCACAGGCGGCGTTGATCGCGCCCAGGGAGCAGACAAGGCCAGCTGGGCGGGGAAGGCGTCCTTCCGGGGGATGGCACAAGAGGAGCAAGACTTGAGGACTAACTGGCTCTGGGCGGCAGAAGAGGGCGGTCCCATTGTGTAGTCCCGGCCGATAGGACCGACTGCCAACGAATGAAGGCCTGCCGCCTGACCGCATCACATGCTAGGGCTCTTTCTTTTTGAGCGACCGCCCAGCTCGCCGGTGTGCGGCAAAGGAGCGTCATCCCACATCCCTCCCCCACCTCTTCCTTCCCCCCCCCCCTCCCCCCCAAGTCGTCGTCTTTCCTCCTTCCCCTCTTGCCCCGCTTTTTCATCCCTCCATCGCGTTCGCCCACTCTTCATTCCCTCTGAGGCTCCCCTCTTTCGCCCCCTCCCCACGATGAATGTCGATGGTGTACGTCGCGTACCATGTCGCCTCTTGCTCCCCCCTTTCTTTCTCTCCCCCTCGCTTTCGCTATTTGCCTTTGTCTGCTATTTGTTCTCCACTGCCCGGGCCCAGGCTCTGCCACTTCTGACTTATCAACACTGACCCCTTCTACCCTCTTCCCCCCCCTTCCCCCTTTCAGGCTTCCAAGCCGCTCTCAGCAAGCGCGCTGAAGAACCGGAAGAAGCACGAGCGTCGTCGCGCCCGGCTGAAGATTGAGGCCATCGAGGCTGCCGCCGATGCCCAGTTGAAGTCCCTTGCCCTTGCGTCTGAGAAGGAGCAGCAGCAGCAGCAGCAACAGCCACAGACAGTGGCCGAAGAGTCGGTGTCAGCTGAACAGCCGCCCCAGGTCGAGACTCCTCTGGAGGTGCGTTTGTCCTGGAGAGTCCCATATATATATATATATATATCTGTTTCTATCCGCCTGGCCCCTTCTTCATCGTGTCGTCTGCTCTCGCCTGTGCTTACACAGCAACACATGCACATGCGTGCACCTGCATTTCCCCTGCTTTTCCTCGCAGGTCACTGTGGAGTATGTTCCGGAGGAGCTCCCCACCCCGGACGCCGTGGATCCTGCCCTTTCGGAAATGCTGGAAGTGATGAACCGCTTCAAGCAGCTCGCCGAGAAGTCCGCCGGCCTCCATGCCGATGATGAGGTAGGTCGCGATTGCCTTCTTTCACTTTCATTGTGTTGCTTCTTTTGTCTCCCCCTCCCTCACGCCTCCCCTGGCCATTACTAATGACAAGCACCCGCCACTCCAGGAGGCCCCTCGCATCAGTCGCTTCGATGAGGTCGGCCAGGACACCCGCGAGGATGAAGGCGATGAGAACGATGAGGACGAGGAGAACCAAATCTCTCGGAAGCGTCTGCGTCGTGTGCGCCAGCTGAGTGTGGCCGACCTCAAGCGCCTGGTCAACCAGCCTGATGTTGTTGAGGTCCGTCCTGCGTTTGACTGCTTCTTCTTTTTCTTTTTTTTTTTCACCCCTCCTCCCCCCCCCCCATCTGGCAAGCGCCTTCTAACTCCCTCCCTACGGCTCTTTCTTTCTCTCCCCCTCCCTCGGGTTTCTTCGCTCTTCAGTGGGTTGATGTGACTGCCGCAGATCCCACCCTGCTTGTCACCCTGAAGGCCACCAAGAATGCGGTCCCCGTGCCCCGGCACTGGGCTCAGAAGCGGAAATATCTGCAGAACAAGCGTGGTCTCGAGAAGCCGGCCTTCGAGCTTCCCAGTACGTCCGCGCTGTTGCCAATCGTTTTGGTCCCACTTCCCTTGGCAGATTCTAACCGCCCACTCTTCCCTTCTATCGACCTGTTTCCCGACACTAGAGTACATCCGGGACACCGGTATTGTTGAGATGCGCGAGGACCTTCGCGAGCGCGAGGCCAATCAAAGTCTCTCGCAGAAGATGCGCGACCGCATGCGCCCCAAGCTCGATCGCAATAAGCTTCCATATGAGCTGCTGCATGCGGCCTTCATCGTTCATCAAACTCGCCCGCCTCTGACCCAGCATGGCGATGTGTGCGTTCCTGGACACTCGCCATGACATCTCTCCTCCTCCCTGCATGGCTACGGGGACGGGCATGTACCCTTGCTGACACAACTGGCACATTCGCCGTCTCTTCTCTTCTTCTCTCTCCCCCTCTCCCTCCCCCCAATGCCCAATGCCCAATGCCCAATGCCCAATGCCCAATGCCCATGCCCATGCCCATTCACAGCTACTACGAGGGCAAGGAATTCGAAGTGACCATGCCCAAGGACATCCGCCCGGGTTATATTTCCCCCCGGCTTCGTGAGGCCCTGGGCATGCCGCTGGAGCCGCATGACCCGTCAGACATTAGCTTCCCCCCGCCATGGCTTTATGCCATGCAGACGCATGGACCGCCGCCTTCCTACCCTTCGCTGAAGATCCCCGGTGTCAATGCGCCCTTGCCTGAGCGGTGCGCTCTTGCTCATTATCTTCCCCGGTCGCCTTCCTATCTAGCTTCTTCCCTTCCTCCCATCCTCTCGCTCTCTCTCGCTCTCTCTCGCTCTCTCTCGCTCTCTCTCGCTCTCTCTCGCTCTCTCTCGCTCTCTCTCGCCCTCTCTTGCTCTCTTGCTCGCTTTCCCCGTCCTTCCCCCCTTGTTTGCGACATTTCCTGTGTTGCTACTGCTTTCCCCGGAACTAACGCACTGTGGCATGCCTTACAACAGGGCCAAGTGGGGCGTTCTTCCTGGGCTTTGGGGCCAGCCGCCGGTTGATAGCATGACTCGGCCGCTGTATGGTGACATCTTCGGCGTCTTGCCCACCAGCCGGGCCCGGCCTCGGTTCCTTCCATACACGACGCGCGTGTGGGGCGAGATCGAGCAGGACTTGCAGGCCAACTTCGAGAACCAGGATGAGATTGTCGAGGGCCAGGATGCCGAGCACGACTACATCGACGCCGATGTCTTCGGCGACGAGGCCGCCCCTGATGCTGGTGGCCTGGAGACGCCGGCAGCTCCGTTTGATCTGCGCAAGTCTGGAACAGCTTCCACTGTGCGCAATTGAGTGCGACCGAGGATAAGAGAGGCGCTGCATCCGATAGCGTGCATCATGGCCATCATCCCCACATCCCTTCCTCCCCTCCCCTCTTCTGTTCCCCTTTTCTGCCCTCTGTCCTTGTGTGTGTGCCCCCCTCTGAGAGAGAGAGGGTCACAGCCCCCTGCCCTCCTCCCCCTTTCCCACTTTGCATGCTTGGCCACATGCTTTGCCCCTCTTCCTTTTCCAC